TTTTGCTGTTTCTGCAGAATCAATTGCTTCCTCCTTCAGTCTAGGGTCCCACATAGTATCAGTCCCTCAAAAGCTGATGAAGTAAAATATGGTTAATAGCAAGATGGTTTTGGGAGCTGGTGGTGGCAAGAAAGACTGGTGCTTGGCAACTTGTGAAGAAGCTGAGCTCAGGTCTCCATTGTCCTGCTGTGAGTCTGCACAAGTTACTTGGCATAGATGTGTCATGATGCAAATAAATGCTGAGATGTTTTTGAAAAAAACACTGGTATCTAAATGTCTTGGACAAAGACAAATGAGATAACTCACCCTGTGTCTGTCAAACCGGAGTATTACTTCTAACCACAAAAGTAGTGCCATGAAGTCTCACAGTTGTGCTGTCAGACTTACATAAGTGCTGTGATATCTGGTCCAAATGTGCATGCAAAACTTTAAGTTACAGGCTTCTCTTACCCACCTGAAATAGTGATATAAACCACACACATAGCAGCTGCTTATTGCTTTGTCTGCTCTTGGTGCTGTAAAGCTGGATGTGGCTGTAATGGAGAGGTAGGTCAGCAAGAATTGGTATGTTACTGTAGTATCAACTGCAAGTGAAGTGTGCATTTCTTTTAGGAGATTTTTATTTGCATCGTGCTGTATTTTTTGTAGCGCGCGTGTGTAGTTTTAGTGCTGGTTTACAAAAGAAGATGATTTAAGTTCTTTTCAGGAACCCTACAAATGAAAGAAAGCAGATAGGGGAAACAGGTATTGCTGACAGCATAATTTGGACACCGTGTCGTTAGTGCCAAAGGTAAGTGATGTTACATACGTGCTTACATTCCTTACATCTTTGTTGGCTTTAAAAGGCTTTGAATTGGGATGTAGCTTTGCATACCAACCCACTGCACTGGAAGAAGTGACATGGTTCAGATAAATCACAAAACAATTAGTTTGCAAAACTTCTGTTTCAGGCTGATAATGAGCTTTTCTTGTTACCATGATCAATATGGTGCAGGGTTTTGTTGGATATAATGGGGAATGAGCTCTCATTTTTTGTGTTTTGCCAATGTAAAACTTGAGCAGTGGTTGGGATGACAGTGGTTGTCGTTCTTGCGGCAGCAGAGGAGCAATGCAGCAGTTGAATTCCTGTAGAGAGCCTTTTCTAGTTAAAGATACTCTTCAGCTCCTGTTACTGCCATCTGTTATGAACCAGGAGTAAACGTGATACTGGACACCAGAGGTCAGGCTTCCTGGTTTTTGTTTGTCCCTACAAGAATAACAAGTCACCTGCAGAAAAGGCTGAATGCCAGCTGGAATCATCCTCATGAAATGCATATGCTTCTCATGAAAATCAATCTGCGCTCAACACGAATTAGTGTGCTTTATGCTCAGCTGTAACACTGCCATAAGATTCCTTGAAGGAGGTTTATAAATCTTCTAAAGCCGCCTTTTGACATTCAAGTCTTTATGTAAAATTGGTTATGCCACTCAAAACCTATTCACAGTGGCATAAGCTTAGGAGTAGCTTTGTTTGGGCTGATAAATAATAATAATAGCTTTTAATCTGTGCTTTTCCAAGCACTGAATCAAGATAGGCAGGTTAAAATTCCCATTTTAGACAGAGGGATATGCCAGCCTGAGCTAAGTTATTTGTATGGGACCAGGGTTTCAAAGGAGAATGCAGGTGTCCTGATGTCCTAGTGCTCCGCTCCTGCCCCTAAGTAATTTGATCTGGTGATTGATAAAAAATATCCTGATTTGGTAACAGCAGGTGTATTGTCAGAACAAGAAGCCTGCTTGTGGTGTGCAGTAGGTAAATAAACCGGGAGTCTGAAACCTTAGTTCACTCTTGTCAGATAAGCTGAGCTATGCCTGGATGCATCTGCGTGGATATCCGCACGCTGTTTCACCATATGCCTTAGCATTGGCATAGCTGTCTTTTGAAGGAGAGAAGCCCTGCCCTTGGGAAAGGTTTTGATTTGTGCTGAGGTTTCACTGAACTAGTCAAAAGGGTGGGGGGATGTTGTGTGTGCGTGATAGTTTCCTAACAAAAAGATGCTTAACGCTGTATTAAGGCCAAAGAGTAATAGACATCAGATGCTTACTGTGTTTGGTTGCTGTTTCTAGAGTTACTGGAGAAGGTTAAGCGAACTCTAGCTCCTTCCTAGTGCAGTGTGTGTGCAACATGAGGTACAATGGCACAATTTCCTTCTCCATTCCTATCCTACCATCATAAAATGGATTTGAACTGTTGACCCTGGAGAATTCTGGTCTGTCAGAGGACTTGTGTCATTTCTATTATTGTTCTGATTTCTGAATCTGTTGAATGGATGTTTGAATTCACTGATTTTTATTTGAAGTTCTGCTCTGAACAGGAGTACAAAGTGTGGTGTATTTTGAGTAATCAGTTGCATGGTGGCATTTGTCTGAATCCATTCCCTTTTGGGATGTGTTGTAATCGGACAAGAACTTACCTTCTTAATGAGCTTATTTCTCCTTCTCCAGAAAAAAAAAAAAATCATAAAGGTAGATGCATTCAACATCAAACTAAGCCTTCACCGATCTAATTTTTTCCAGCTGCTATCTGGGAACAAGCTGGGGAAGCAAGAGGTGGAAGGAGATCAAGTACTGTTCAGAAAACAGTAGCTGCTTCTCAGTGTAAGCTGATAAGTAGCCAGATTGTGTAATGCCATTTTTCTGATGACCACTGCATTGTGGCTCTTGGTCTGGGAGGTGGGGAAGCGCTGCTGGCTTCCATGTTCCTAGAGAGTTTCTCTTCTGGCTGTTCCTGGACAACTAAGATGGGTGGCAAGTGATGTATGCCTGGGACTTTCTGTAGATGATGGAAAAGACATTTAGGAACTATTTTTGGGTGGCACAAGGTTAGTGTACCTCACTATTTTGTGATAATGGTGCAATTATCTGATAATGCTTTTCCTATAACCCAGGAAGGAAAGAGGTTTTTTATTTCTTCTTCTCTAGCTCTGTAGTAGATAAACTGTGCTGTAAGTGAACCTAGCCCTTAAGCTCTATTTAAATATATAAACCAGTTTTAAATAAATGTGTTAATAGGAAAAGCTGATCAGTAAGTGATACTGTTTAATAAAACAAACAAACATTTTAAATTGTTGTTCCTGATGCTCTCACTCAAATATGGAATCGTCCTGTAAAGGGACTTCATGAATATTCTTTCCCTTGGAAGTTAATAGGGCAATAATTTCTAGTTAATTGAGTATTTCTGCATTCGATAGGCTAAAGGGAGTAATCAGTAATGTATCTTCCCATACAGTATGCTTAATGAGAGAGAAATATTGGCAAGAGTAAAGTATCCTCTGTTATATTTCATATATAGCATCTATGTAAACTTTTCTTGGTGAAAAGTAAAAGCAAGCAATGTGTAAAATCAAAGATTTGTTTCTTCACCTTCATGCATGAGTTGAAGCTGCCAAGCTACTTTTACTTGTCTTCTTTGTGTCTAGCTCTTTCTTTAAGGTAGTTGTTCTTTAATATGTCACTGCATTTAACAATCTCCTCTCATGATAAAGCATGTCAATCCTAATATTGCTTAGGGGAGAGGAGAGAGCAAGAAGCAGGAGGAAGGGCATTTAGGTGACTTGCCTTTTGTGTGGTGATCACAAACTGGGACATCAAAAAAAGCCTTGGATTTAAGAAGAAAATGAGAGTACATCACAGATGATGTGATTAAGCACATCATTAAAGATGATGGCTTGATTTTGACTTGATTGTCTCAAATACGAGCATCTATTTTCCTTTAGCTGTTTCCTGCTCCATATTGCCACAAAGGATGTGCAGAGACCTTGTGATGAGAGCAAGCACTTACAACACGGGGCTCATACGTTCACTGTGCTGTGTTTGTCTGTAACGTGGTCTTGGTAGCAGGACCCTGAATGGAGTCCTGGCCCATGGAGTGGCAGCAGATGGTTGTCTTCTGTTTGCTTCTATTCACCTTTTATTGAGCTCACAGAAGCTTTGCTTTGTTATGTAAAGAGCCTGAGATAAGGGGCAGCGTATAATTACATAATGCCACAGTGTCCATAGCTGCTCTTCATATGGCTTTAAAGCATCCCCAGATAATTTTTGTCTAATGTAGATACTAGTAACTTACTCGAATATGTAACCAGAATGCACTACATGGGGCATACTTAAGATGAACCACCTTGACATTGCTGATTGCTGCAGGTAGTATTTACTGGGGGGGGTGTGTGTGTTCATTTTTTTTTTTTTTGGTTTTGTTTTGTTTCTTCCCAAACAAGAAAGCGAAACAGACAGTTTGCATTCTTGGATTCTTTCCTTTTCTGACTTGCTCCCTTTCTGCTGTCTCCTGTTTTCAGGTCAGTGCTCAGTTCTCAAAACGGATCCAGGCAAAAATCAAGGACCTTCTGCAACAAATGGAGGAAGGGCTGAAGACGGCAGATCCACATGACTGCTCTGCCTATACTGGCTGGACTGGTGAGAAAGCCAGAATTTGAACGAAGTGTGTACATGATGTAATTGGGTTTATTCACAGGAGGAGGTTCTCATATTCTCACAGGAACGGCAGAAATACTCTGATACAGGCATTTGTGTGAGTTGGTTCCTTTTAAATCTGGATCCTTGGTCACTGCTGTCTGGAATGCCTTCCATTGACTTCAGCAGACAAAGTTACAGAGAGATCACTGGCTTTTGTATATGGAGATCTTTGTCTTGCAAAAGGAGTGGATTTTCTAAGGCTGCTCTCTCTTTTGTCTTACCTCTTGTTTCTTTAAGGTTTTCTTAAAATGAGTTATTTTCACCTTTTTCTATTCAGCTATTAGTTAGCAGTTGTCTAATGTTAGTAGCATCTTCTAATCATTGGGAGTGGGGTGTTTTATGCCCAGGAGCTTGGAGCCTTAAAATCTGGAATATGGGTAGTTTGGCTGTGCTTGTTCTGACTGTACAAAGTGGTAAAATGAACATGTGAGGAGGGGGAGTATGGAGGTGGGGTTGCAACATCTTGAAGTTCATGAAGATAAACAGGCGCGTGCAAGTGCTGGTTATTGCTTGGCGCCGTCGTTCACTTAGTGTTGCATCACTGGTGCTGTCCACATGTGAATGAGCCCTTCTGATCCTTTAGGATCCTTTAGCCTGCAGTTGTCAAGTCTGATGTGGCTGCTGCTCTTCAAGCTGCCAAAACACTTCTCTGTCTAGGCCTCGTAAGTGCCACTTTGCTGTTACAATGGCATATACTATGCCTGCTCTGTCTAGCTCACGCTTTGGGCATGCTTATGCTTTTAGCACAGCATGTTTGAAATATACCCTGACGAGATCTATTCTTTTACCTTTGTGTTGTGAGGGGGAGCAGCTTGGAAAAACTCCCTAGGCTTTGCCTGTGCTCAGGCTTAATTCTGGCAATGAAAGGGTAAAATTTCTTTGCTTTCTTCTTGATGTTTTGGTACAGATGGTACTGTGGGTGGATGGGTGGGGAAGTTTTAGACAACTCAGATTTTAATGGTAGATGGGATCAAGGTCTGAAAGTGAGTGGCTGCTAAGTGAGTGCAGAACATCTCCAGTGGTGGACTTTCTCACATGGACAGGCTCCTGGGGAGCTGTGTTCTGACACTGTGACTGACAGCTGAAGTTACGGCTGATAAAGCAGAGCATGCTGAAAATGAGTCATAAGCTAAAAGTAACACAGACATCGTTAGCTGAAACATGAGATAGATGAACAAGTGATGCAGTCTAATGAGAGTGGGGTTTTTCCATCCTGTAGAAGGACTGCCAACTACGGATATTGCAAGTTGCAAACTTCTTCCAAGGCTCCTGTGGCAATGACTCTGAATAAAAATATTTAAATGATCTGGCTTTTGAAATACTTAGTGCAAATGCTTTCTCCTCGAACTTGCTCCTTGCAAATCAGAAGGTAAAAGCAATGCTGAAAACAACTGCCCTCCTTCTTATGTACCAAGTCTAGACAAATCTTACTGGCAGTGCAGTCCTGAGCATTGGCTTGTGCTTTGTGAAACATCTTTAAAATCTTGGAGCACATACCGTTGGTGTGTAACAATTGTAGGACTTGGGTCAGAGTCCATCTTGCTTACAAAAGTACTCTTTGTATGTGCTAGATGTCTCAGAGGAGCCATTTTAAGGGTGTTGCACAAGGAAGGATTGGATGAACTGGGCCTCGTGGCTACTTTTCTGATCATCCTTTGATCAAGCCCAGGCATCTACACATTTGTTGCATCATAAAAAAGGGTGACAGAAGTCCCAGTCAATAGCCCACAAGTTCCCGTGCCCTGAATTGAGCTAACCAAGCTCTGCAGCTCTCCTCTTGGACTCCTCTAGAAAGGCCTGTTCAAAGCCAGTCCGGAGAACATCTGAGGATGTACCAGCACTCCTGTGGTGCTGTTCTTGTACTCCTCAGGTAGCCTCTTGGAGCTAAGTGGGCTTCGTGTGTACTTGGCTTTAGTTGTGGCTCAGGAGAGTGCTCTCCCTGTTCAGAAACGAGTTTGAGATGCAGTGTGGTCTGGAGGTAGTTTTGCTTCTGCACATGTATGCTTGCAGTTGGCCAATAAACATCCACTTAGATGGATTTGTTTCACTTTCTTCAGTCTATGTTGTTGCGATTTTTAAGGTTTGTTTTGTTTTAATGGAAAACAATGTAAGGAGTTTAATGGAGTGAAGCTTGATACTATGCTACCTTCCAATATTCTCGCAGGACACATTTGCTTTCTGGCTTTTACAAACCAGCTTAACTTGTGGAAGTTCATAATCATGTTACGGCATACATTTAAGGGTTATAAAGAACTTGGCAAGTTCAATCTGAAAACTCATAAGAAGATCCTTTTGCAAATCAAATGGAAAATTTGTCACTTCTTGCATATTTAGATGAATATTGTACAGTCAGTGTACTTGGTCATACACATGCTTGTTAGCCCAAGTTTTTGAGTCTTTGGTGATTTCTCCACCAAGTATTGGTGCATGTGTCATGAATTTTCGTCATTCTCTGCAAATTGTGAGCCTACTATTGGGCTTCAGTCTGATAATTTTTTTTGGGTTTGCCACAATCCAAATTGAAATGTAATCAAAATAGATGGCCTGATGCCTTCCCATTGCATAAGCTAAGACCCTTGACTGACATGTTTTAATTGCCCAAATCGCTGTTCACATTTGAGTTACTGGTTCAGAGGTACTAAAGAGGGGAATATGATATACTTAGAAGGAAAAGTAAATTAAAGTATCTCATTTTCATGCGGTTTTTCCAGGTATTGCCCTCTTGTATCTGCAACTGTACCGCGTCACAAAAAACCAGAGCCATTTGCAGCGATCTCTTGATTATGTGAAAAGAATCCTTCGCAATCTGAATGGTAGAAGAGTTACTTTCCTCTGTGGTGATGCTGGGCCACTGGCAGTGGGTGCAGTGGTTTATCACAAGCTGAAAAACGACAGTGAATCTAAAGAATGTATTGCCAAGTAAGTAGTTGATGGTGGAAAAAGCCGTGCCTCTTCATTTGTAGAGAGAATTGGTTCAGTAACATTAGCAAGTGGAGTTTTGGAGGACAGGATTAAAAAATGGAGAACTTTCTCCCCTGATCCATTTTCAGTAGAAGAATACAAAATAGGCTTTATCTCTATTAAAGCTGGCTTACACTTGATTCATATTCAGCAGGTTATCTTGAGTCCTCTGTCGCTGTAAGGACAGGATGTCCTGGGCATGTATCTGTAGTGCATGCACGTTTTGATTTTGTCACACTGAAGTGACATTTAACAAAAGCCGCGCGCTTGTCATCGGCAATATGTAGTGCCTGTGAAGTATGTGATGCTTCCTGTAAAGAGTGGGTCTTAATTGTAGGTTCATTACAAAACATGTACACTGCAGGGATCTGGAAACATCCAGACAGAAACATGATACATCGGATGGGTACATAAAAAAGATTTAATAAAACAAAAGAGGACTGAACCATCAAAAGCAAGGGCTTTAATTGGGTCAGAGCCTAGGGTAGCCTGAAAAAATTCCAGCCCCTTTTCAAAGTAATCTAAATGTAACAAATGTCTTGAGAAATCCCATTTAGATGTAGAGCTTTCTTGGAGAACTGGCCATCCCTTTGCTGGGACGGAGCTGATTGCTGTCCCAGCAAGGGCTGGAAGCACTGGAGCCCTCTGGGGTTTGCATTCGGCACCAGCAATCCACCCGCTAGCGGTCCAGCAGCATACCTTAGGCTGCCAGAATTTGCAGACTAGCGTTATGTCCTCATCTCCATTCTGGTTTATATTTGGAAATATAATTGGTCTCTTTCTAATGTAGAATCCTAGTGTGATTAGTCTCTGCTGCTGTTTCTGAACGAGTATTTCAGTTTTAAAATGGGTGGTAGGCTTGTTCTTTTTTGGCTTTTAGAACTGGCAGTAAACTTGAGCGTGTCATTTTGGGTGCAGCTAGGAAAGCAGTGTTGCTGTAAGGCATGACGCATGAGTATAGCAAAATGAGATTAGCAATAAATCTTTTAGTCTCGCTTCTCCTTGGGAAGTTATTTCTGGGAGGAGGACTGAAAAGGAGGTTAGTTTGATTATTTGTTTCTTTTCTTCCTTTTTGTTTACAAATATATTCATGGCACAAGCTCAGTGGTACATTATAGATGTCAAAATGTAATCTGTGATTGCAGTTTTAACTTTGCCTTGTAGCTGTCCAGTTGTATGATTTGAATAATAAAACTTTAAAGTTTAAAAGAAAATAAGCTATTCTAAGTCCAAAGTATAGTTCCAAGAAAGGAATGATAATATAAAATGGTTTTTGGCGAGTGGCTTGTCCCTGGTATTAAGCAGTAACAGCATAAACAAGTCATCAGGGCCAGTGTTTTTGCTCCAAGGTGATGTTAATGCTAACATTTCTGCTGAGTAATAGCAGCTGATGGGATCTGTGAATTGAATTTGGTCTTAATCCAGATTGTCTTGCCCCTTCCCCCAATTTAAAATGTGTTCATCTCCATGGTTTCATCTAATTGCCAATTTAATCACAAAAAATAGGAAGAGACAGGGAGGGAGTGGGCAGGAAAGCAGATGTCTGCTCCACCTCAATGCTAATGCAGACTGGTGGAGTAATAGCAGGGAGTCTCTAAGGAGCAAATGAGAGTTGTGATGGCCAGCCCAAGGGGTTTTTTTCCTATTGCTAAAGGCAAGCAAAACACTTGTGCAGAATAGCAGTGCCCTTTTAAAACTGAGCTGCTAAACATTTGAGACTGTTTTGTCTAGGGAGGGGGAGTGCCTAAGGGTGGTATTGGGTTTTTTGATTTTGTTTTTCTTTTTTCCCCTCTTACACATCTACAATTAAGGGTCCTCGCTGAGGTGAAATTCCCAGAGGCTCCAGAAGGTTTCCATATTTGTTGGAGTAGCTCTCTAGCCTCATCCAACACCCACCTGCACCCATACATCTCTTTCTGTCTGCGCAATAACCTGATAGTTGCACTAATACTCACCCGGCTCTGGCTTAGTGTTGCCTGTCTGTCAGGGATGGCAGGCATGCAGAGCTCCTCTGTGTAAACCTGTCAGCCAGCCGACCCGGGGATGACTGGAGGGAAGCTGTGGGCTTTGGCAGTCCTGCTTCTGGTTTGACTGAGGGCTTGTACAATACATGGTCCAGTATGGTCTCTGGAGAAGATGCTCTCTCTCCCCACCTTTCTTGTCTGATGCAGGTTGTTGCAGCTCCAAAGGACAGTCATAAGCACAGATGCTGAACTTCCAGATGAGCTACTTTATGGCAGAGCAGGTTACCTATATGCCTTGCTGTACCTGAATACTGAAATCAGTCCAGACGCTGTCCCACAGTCTGTTATCAAAGAGGTAAGATACTTTTCTCTCTCCAGTGCCACAGTACCAGTGAGATTGAACTGGAATCTCTCCTTTGCATAATTCAAGGAATTGAGAGAGGGATGCTGGAGAGGAGAGGGATCTAGAACTGGGAACTCAGTCTCATCTATCCCTCCACTCTCTTCCCCCTTTCCCTGCTGCTGGCTGGGACTGAGACAGGCCAGTGAAAGAGGGTCCATGGCTGGCCATGGAAATGGATGTAATATGTAACTAGTTTTGGAGCATTTGAGGATGAGAAATTGTTACAAAAAACTTTGACAGAAGTGTGGAAGTGTTTAAGTGAAAAGGAAGAGAATTCAGTGTGGGGAGGATGCACGACTGTTCTGCAGATATTGGAACCAGGGAAGGCAGGACTGGTAAAAATACTATTAGAAATATTTATATATTAAAATTCTACTCTTAGAAATATAAGAGATTCCATGATTCAGGAAAACATTTCACTTCTACCTCAACACTTAAGTTCAAATGAATTAAATATCGTTGTCCTATCACTGTTTATTGCAGCTCATTCTTTACTGTGGTTTTAATCATGACAAAGCAAAATCCTCTGAATCAAAGCAGGCAAGACAGACGGAAGGGGTGTGTTCTCTTTCCTAGGTAATAGATGCTATTATTGAATCGGGGAAAAACTTCTCAAAGGAGGAGCGGAAAACAGACCGTTGTCCTCTGTTGTACCAGTGGCATGGGAAGCAATATGTTGGAGCGGCCCATGGAGTGGCTGGGATCTATTACATGCTCATGCAGGTAGGAGCATCTTCTGTGGGCTGGGGTAAAACACCAATGGTCTCTTGTTTTGCATCAGAGGACATTATCTTCAGCTTTCATGCATGTGCAGTGTTGTGCTGGGTCAGGGTCTCACAATTTGGAGTTAGACTGCAGCACAGAACTGTGCGGAGATGCTACTTCAGGCCCTGGTAGCAGAACAAAACTGTGACTCGGGTGTCCTCGCATTAGAGTTGTGGTTGAATTGTGGTTCAGAGCACTGGTGTTCCAGGAGCTGAAGTTTCCTGTCCTTGACAGAGACAGGTGCCTGCCTTCATCCTCATACTTACTTCTTCTGGTGCCTGCATTTAGACCAGCTGAATATTTGCTCACCATCAATCACACTTCAATTTTTTGCTGTTTTTAAGTGAGTGCACTGCTGGTGCCTCCTGCCTTCCATGCCCTTTCCCTCTTTTCTGGTGACTTTTTTTTTCCCGTTGTCTTGAAGCTTTTGGAATACTATCCTTAATCATAGAATAGTTTGGGTTGGAAGGGACCTTAAACATCATCTACTTTCAACCCCTCTGCCATGGGCAGGGACATCTTCCACTAGACCAGGTTGCTCCCAGCCCCATCCAATCTGGCCTTGAACACTGCCAGGGAGGGGGCAGCCACAGCTTCTCTGGGCAACCTGTGCCGTGTCTCACACATTGGTCTTCAGTTTGCTTTTATTCTTTAGATGTTCTTCCTCTTCCTTATCCCCCCTATCACTCCCCCAAAAATCTGATGTTCCTTAAGTGCATTTATGACCCCTGCTCTCCTCTTTCTGTTGTCCTGGGTGAGATTCCTCTCTTCTGTATACCTCTCCTTTCCCACACTTAAATCCATTCCCCCTTGCCCTGAGATTCTCCAGTAGGATTATGATGTTTTTCAAAACAGACCTGTATATCTTATTTCTGTTGTACAATCTGGAAAAAGACCCTTAAGATTCATTATAGAAGATGGCTGTAGAGCTGCAAAATTTGTATTGTACCCGTTTCTGGTTTTTAAAGGTGCTGCCAGTCTGTGCATTTTTGTAAATGTTAATTTTCTTACCAGCTCATGCAGAATGACTTTCCTTCAGGTAAGTGGAAGGATTGTACGTCCTTGCAGCCTGAAGCTGCGTACAGATGTTTGCTGCAGAAGTGACTGAGCTGGTATGTGGTGTTGCCACTGCTCAGCCATTCATCATTTGCAAAAAGACACTGTGACTTCTCCCCATCTGTTTCAGAATAACTCATGCCACTTCCACCAGTAGCTCAGGGTAAAGTGGCTTCCATTTTGCTGTGGAAGTGGCTACTGCTCTGCTAACTGGAGGTATGTCTTAATCTCGCTGCAGCTATTTTCTGCAGTGACCATCTTGCTCTGAGGCCTCAGGCTGCCCTGATTTACTGTGCCCTTATCTTCACTTCCTGCTTTATTCAACAAGGTGTTCCACACCTTTCTGGCTCCTTCATCTTCCTGGCTTCCTTTTTTCTTTCTCTGGCTCTGCTAGATTTTCTGAGAAACATCTGGTCCTTTAAAGAAGCCTCTTTAAAGGCTCCATCCTTCACTTACTGTTCAAGGCTGATAGCAGAAATAATTGCGCAGTGCTTTTTGGTTTAAGCAGAAGCTACTCTGTCTACATGTTAAAATTTTAACTATCTTTTCCTTTACCTGTAATTGCTGCTTTTAAGAATTACCACAAAACCATTGTTTATGCAGCATTAGATTACTGTCTTTTCACTGCACATTAAATATTGTGAGTCATGCAGAGTTGAGTCATCCACTGGAGAAGAAGATGGCATACTGGAGTCCATCCTTTCCCCATCCCTCCCATGCCAAATGAGGAGAATTTTTCTGTATTTTCAGCAGAATTCAGGAGATGGTTTGTTTAGTGGTTGTTTGATAACAAAAAAGAGCATCCAATGTAACACCTGAGATGAGAAGGTCACTGATTGTCATTTCTGTACAGCACCTTTAAACATGTATTGCTGGATTTATTTACATAAGACTACTGGAAGAATAAGAGCTCAACAGTGTTTAAATAAGTCATCCAGGAGGTAGAGGGGGAATTCTGAAGTGCTAGCTAGGGAATCTCTAGTCCTAGCCCCTTTCACCAACCCTGAGGCAAAAATGTCTGTTTGCATATCATTGTCTGGAGAGTCAGGACACATGCCTGGAGGTTACATCTTGCTGTTGGAAGTAGGTGATGGGAACCTCAGCAGCTTGGGCAAAGAACATGCTTGTACTCGGATCTTCTCAGAAGCACAAGGTGAGAAGGAGGTTTGTAAGGAGCTCTGCTCTTGGATTTGCTTCCCGAGGACAGACATGCTGGGCTGAGCTTGGCTTGCACAGCTGAAGGCATTTATTGCTGGTGCTCATCTGCTTTGCCTTCTGCTGCAGGCATGCAGTGTGAAATTGGAGCCCTGAAACAAAGCTTCCCCTAGAGCCTCCCTACTGCCCCCCGCCCCGGTCAGTGTCAGCATGAGGGCTGATCAGCTCAGGAGTGTTCTTCATGATAAGCTGATCTCCATTCTTATCAACGCTTACAAATATCTAAAGGGCGGCTGTCAAGAGAATGAGACAAGGCTCTTCTCAGTGGTGCCCAGTGACAGGACAAGGGGCAACACAGACAAACTGGAGCACGGGAAGTTCCACCTCAAAATGAGGAAAATCTTTATGTTAAGGGTGGCAGAGCACTGGAACAGGCTGCCCAAGGAGGTTGTGGAGTCTCCTTCCTTGGAGATATTCAAAACCCATCTGGATGCAGTCCTGTGTTACCTGCTGTAGGTGACCCTGCTTTAGCAGGGGGGTTGGGCTAGATGATCTCCAGAGGTCCCTTCCAACCCCTGACATTCTGTGTTTCTGATTAGCACATGAACGTTTCTGTTCGACTCGGAGAAGTGCAGAGATGGAGTTTGATTGAGGGACCTGGTAGGTCAATATCTGGCAGATTCCTTGCTGAGGTGAAATAGAGGCTTTTTTTTTTTTCGGGTTACTGAAAATACAGCTATTGCAAGTCTTTCTTCATTTGGTTAAGACTGTCAATTGTAGCAGTGTGCTCGCCTATTGAGTGCAAATGGGCTGGAGCTGGTGGGAAGCAGCAAAATTGTATGACATCAAGTAAGCAACAAAGACAAGTTACTGAAAAAAAGCTCAGTTATCAGGCTCCTGTAGGCTTAAATTTCTGCAGTTTTTCCCACAGCGTGCAGGAATTCTAGAAACCGTGTAGGCTGTGTAGAGAAAGAGGAAAAAAAAAAAAGGCGCTCTGTTATGAAGATACTGTAAAACGAGATGGTAGAGGAGGGAATGCCAACAAAGGACAACTGGAGACCTGACAGATACTCATCTTCTAAATCTTTGCTTACAAGAAGCAAGCAGGTTGATGGATATATTCTTTTGGCAAGGATGTAAACTAAATAGAAGAAATGAGAAAGAGAACTCAGAAGAGCAATCTAAGGATGAGTTTGTAGTACAAAGAATTTTAGCTACCTGGGGAAGTAGCAGTTGTTTCTGAAATTGGAGATGCAGATTTATCCCATAACTTCAGGGAGTTTTGTTTATGATGGAAAACTTTAACCTTCATAAACCTTTGCCAGATATGCCACTGCATGTGCTCTTCTTTGTTTACTGTGAAATAGGACAGGTTTGTCTATGTTAGTTATTTTTGGAATGTGTAACCCATTGTGCTTTGTGTGTGTTATGAGCAACATAGCTATAAAACCATCTTTCTCCTGTAAGTGTTCTCTCTATTTTAAGGTATAAAGAGAGACCTGAGAGTCCTGAAATCCATGTTCTGTTCTCAGTTCTTCCATAGTCTTTCTGTGTCACCTCCAGTAAGACAGGTAACAACTTGGTGCCCCAATTTCTTTGTCTCTACAGTAGTTTGAAAAATGCTCTTCACAAGGGTATTGTAAGCAGATGTTAATTAAATGTGTTACGAAGTGATTCAAAGTATTTGGATCAAGGGCACATATGTAGAATACTTGAAAACACATCATAGAATTAAGTGTTGATGCACGATTTGTTACTACTTCTGTTTATGGTTTTGGTCGTGTGGTTTTTTTAACGATTTCTTTAGCCAGTTGCAAAAGTGGACCAGGAGACCTTGGCAGAGCTGGTGAAGCCAAGCATTGACTATGTGCGTCATAAAAAATTCAGATCTGGGAATTACCCATCGTCACTGAGCAATGAGACTGACAGACTGGTTCACTGGTGCCACGGTGCCCCCGGAGTCATCCACATGCTCATTCAAGCTTACAAGGTGAATTATTCTGTGTTCATATAGACCTCTATTTTTACAGGGACACCTGCATGCAGGCATGTTAGATTGTAGGGCTTGCACTTGACATCTTTCTAGATCTAGACTTTCAAACCAGAACCCTAGGCTAGGCACCTAACAATCTCAAAATACATAGGTATGTTTGTAAAGAGGAAGTAAGTGGGTAAAAATGCTTCTCAGGGTGCTAGTAGTTACTAGACTTCAGGCTTTTTTGGAAAAGGGCCATGTATTTAAACAATTCGGTATCGGAGTCCTGGGTGTGAGAACGTTGACCTAAATTCTTTGAATCTTCATCCCAAGAGTTTTAAGAGTTATGTTGGTTTTCACAAAAGCATAGGTTTGTGTGTCTTGCCAAAGAGTGTTGTCCAAGATATGGCTCTTGAGGACTTAACATCAGAGCAAAGATCCCAGACTCCTTCTAGGGTGTAAATATAACCTCTGAGCTACTGCAAGCCCACTGTTTGCTCTTCTCCATCCTTAACTAGGTTTGCTATCGCTCTTGTGTTGGGCACTTCTGATTTGCATGACATTTGAAAGTATGCCATTTAATTAAATTTATGCAAATTGATTCTTGCTTTAGACAGTCCTCCTTGGCAGGTTCCCTCATCGGCCTCTGGGTAGGCTGATGAAAAGCAGGCTTGGTTTGTGGAATAATTACTCATGTTGCTACCTGAAATGTGAACTGTAAATCTTACAGCATTGCTGAATGTAGCAGCAGTCACAGTTGCTTTTTCTGTGGACTGTGGTACCAGATCGGCTTAACACTGCAGACTTCTTTTTTTATAATCCACCCCCCGCCGCCC